TTGCAGCCCCCAAATTCAACACTGTCTTCATTGAGCAGTAGCTGCTGATATACAAAGAGTACTTACCTTAAGTGCGACTTTTAATTTTTCTTTTCCGAATTCCACCAACACGTCTTTAGCTTTGAGAGCGAAACCAACTTTAAACGGAATACGAACCTGTGAAAAATGAACAAATCTATAGCACAGAACAGCACTTTATGAGTTACTCCAGTGAACAGGCGTGTATTAGCTGCACTGGATGCGTGCCGTAGCTGACAACTTTTGCATTCTTAGGGAGACGTGGGAGCGAATTTTTATTTCATCTCAGTACCCACTCAGCTTGTATATTATTCAACAGTCGCTTTATCCCCACGACACCCGTACTTTTTTCAGAAGGGCTCAGGCAATCGCCAAGATACCCGCACTTTTTTTAGAAGGGCTCAGACAAGCAAAATACCTGTTTTTGCAATATTTGTTCGATTCTGAGTTTATCGCAGGCAGTCCTCTCATGGTTCAGCGACGCACCCAAATTTGTTCATTTCCTCTTCTCATTACGCTATCATTTCACACAACGAGGGATGCGAAAGGACTTAAAACTGATTTGCATTTGGTCTTAACCATAAATCGATACACCATTCTGCAAAAGTTCTAAAAAGAATACTTCGATTTCACTGAGCGTCTGGGTCCATTGATAATTTTCCAAGTCACAACCATTTCCGGCATTTGGATTGAGTTTGCCTTTGTCTTCTGGATCTTCTCCCTCTTCCTCCTCTTTTTCATTATCATTTCCTGAAAAAATACCATAAAATATGCAAGTATCCCTTATATATCCGATGAAATCCTCTATATGATAAAAACATCATCTCGAAACTGTAATAACATGCCTTTTCGTAAATTGCACTTCGAAATGAAGCAAATGATTCATTTTAATCATTTTGAAAACTGTCTAGCCTCCATAAATGATGAACACGCACCTCTGCTAAATAAAACCCATTTCCGAAAAACTGCTTGAGATGCTTCTCAGTGACGCGAGTGTCAGATTC